AAAAAAAAAAAAAAGTAAACAGGTTGGAAATTTCTGGTTACCAAGAGAGAAACCAGCTAACAATGAAACTTCCCCCTTTTTTGAGACAACGTCTCCTGCTGTATTGCCCAGGCTGACCTTGAGCTTGATCCCTCTCCTTTGGCTTCCTCAGCCAGGATTAGAGGCAGTGGCCACCTCTCAAACAATAAGGCCTCTTTGGCCAACACCAAAATATTGAGCTCCCCTTCTCCTGTGATTCTTCCTGAGATGAGCCCCTGGGGTAGAACGCTGAGCCTGAGGTAATGCAGACATTCCCCTTCATTGAGCAAGGAGCCCTGAGCATTGTTGGCTCCAGGCAGGCCTCCATGGTGCTGCAATGCAGCAAGCACTATGTCCTCTGCAAAGTGGCATGTGAATTCTTTCTGGAAAACATGATAGCTTTCCCTGTGACCTGCTACCTGGTGGCCTTCTCCTTGTGTAGGGAGGCCACTAACTACCCAGTGAGGGTCAGGGCACGCTGGCTGAGTGGCGATTACGCCTGGTGGTCTCTGTAGCTTCTCCTCCAAAGCATGTGGGTGGGGACAGAAGTCTGCCACCAGAGGTGTCTAATTCTTTGTCGAGCACTGAATACAGGGCCTGGTGCATGCTATGCAAGTGCTCTACCACACCCTGCTTTAAGCAGAACTCTGAGGGAGCTCAGAGACTGGTGGTGTTCACTGCCTGCTTTCTCTGCTGTCCTTATCTTCAGACACCAGATCTTGGGGCCCGACTAACTCAGTGGTAGAGGGCTGGGAGGAGGCCCCTTTCCCTCACCATGCATGTGGTACAGCTCACTGGAGGTTTTCTATTGTTCCTGGAACACAGACTGAGGCCAGTGATGGCAGAAATCATCTTTATTCACACCCCTTGCCCCCATATCCTCAATGTCCTTCACTCCAAGTCCTGGGTTTGGCAGGTGGGGCTGCCAAAGGGGCTGCGTCAGGCAGGGTACAGACCCCACAGCTTAGCCCTCCAGGGCTGCACCTTTCCTGTTCCTGCCGGCACAGCTCACCCTCTGGGATGGACACACTGTGGTCCCTCAGTAGATGCCATAAGTGGGCTCATGACTGTCCCTGTACCGGTCCAGGTAGCGCAGGGGCTGCCGGTGGGGGAAGAGCTTCTGCTTCGGGTGGTAAGCTGGTGGCCGAACAAACTCAAACACAGGCTCCCGCATGTCTGCAAGAGGAGTGAAGGTCCAGGGTGGAGTCCTTGCCTGAGGTGGGGCCCAGATGGGCACTGCACCCCACTTCCCAGTCCTGCCTGCCCACCCTTACCCAGAAGCTGGTGAAAGGTATGGGTGACGGAGTCATCCCAGCGGCACTGGAAGAAGGCCAGGCCAGCGGGAGTCATGGCTTCCTGGTGTTTCTTATAGAAATCAAACGTATGGAACGTCCTCTGGGCTAGCTGGTAGCTGTGAGAAGACAGCAACAGCTCAGAATTCGGGGGTGACAGAGCCCTGCCCTCTCCCACCCACAACCCACCAGAGACCTTCGAAGTCCCACTCTTCTGTCAGCCTCAAGAGCTAGGTCAGGAGACAATTGGGCTTACCAGGGTGAGGGGCGAATATCTGCGGAGAAGTCGATGGGCTTGTCCTGCTTGAAGAGCAGGAAGGCAAAGCGGTGGAAGCCGGAGCCTTGGGCGGGGAAGGGGGGCAGGTAGGGACACGCCTCCTGTCCTGCAGCCACCCTGTTACCTGGGATGTTGGTTCTGATAGGAGGCAAGAATTTGTTAGTTACCACTGAAGGAGGTGCTACAGGGATCCCTGGCCTGAGAGGGTAAAGTCCCTCCCTGAGGGGACAGATTCCTGCGTGATAAGCTTAGCACCCCACAGATGTCCTGCAAATAGGTGCAGGGAACAGGAGGGGCTCAGAGGCAGGCACCTAGCTCTGGAGGCTGGCGGGATGACAGCTTGGTCACACTGCCTTTCTACTCCGCCTCACAAGCAGGGTCTGCACAGCCACTCAGGCTGGAAAAGCAGGCCACCATGAGTTGCTTTTCTCTTTTTCTAGGAATCTGGGGTCTTGTCAGGGAGTCTGCCCAGGCCTGCACTGGGGTGGCTTATCCCACTGTTACATGTATATACTCACTTAGGCTTGCTATCTTTTCTTCTGCACCTTTTGGGTGAATGAAGGATCACAGGGACCGCCCCACCACCAGGCACATGTGAGGGGATCACTGGGGTGAGAACTTAGTTCAAAATCCCTCAGTGTAAGCCAGCATTATAGTGCATGCCTATAATCCCAGTACTTAGGAGGCTGAGGCAGGAGGATCACAATGAGTTTGAGGTCGGCCTGGGGTACATAAATGAGTTCAATGCATGCACTACATAGTGAGCCTGTCTCAAAACAAAACAAAGCAGGGGCTGGTGAGATGGCTCAGTGGTCTAAAGCACCTACTTAGAACAAGCTTAGCAAAGCACAGGGACCTGGGTTGAATCCCCCAGCACCACATGCCAGCCAGCCCCGCCCCCTGGTGGGCTGAGCTGGCCACACACACACACACACACACACACACACACACACACAAAAAAAAAAAAATAAAATAAAAAAAAAAAAAAAAAAAAAGACTCAGTTTAAAAAAAAACAAAACAAAGCAATCCTGTGGTCAGTCTAAGTGGAGCCAAGACTGCAATTCAGGGGCAACCCCTTACAGGCTCCTGGGTCTCTCTGCACATCCCCCATCTGCCCCACCAGATACTCACACCAGCCAGTGGAGGTACTCGGCGTCGGGCTCCAGCAGGTGTCCATCTGCACGGAAACACACCTTGAGCACAGGCCCTGCAGACCTTCTGTGACAGGAGGAGCTGCAGTGCTTCATCCCGTCCTCGCCAGCTTCTGGCTGGGGAGGAAGAGGAGGAGGAGGAGGAGGAGGAGGAGGAGGAGGAGGAGGCGGCGGCGGCGGCGGCGGCGGCAGGAGGCCCAAGGAACCTCAGACACCTACCCAGGTTGGTGAGCATCAGTGTCCATATGGAGCCCTCGTCTGCCTCATAGGTCACCTCTGGGGACTGGGCAGCCTGGCAGAAACAGAACAGCGACGCTGCAACCCGCACCAGGGACAGATAAGCCCTTGCAAACAGAATGTCTTTCTTGAGAACTGGCGCTCTGGGCAGTGGGTGACCCAAACTAGGGACCCTGAAAGCCCCTCACAGAGATACACAGGCCAAGAGATGGAACAGGAGGGATCTGCAGAGCTGCCTGTTCTAAAATCTGAACCATAAGGACAAGGGTGTAGCTCAGTGGCACAATGCCTGCCTGGCAAGCGTGAAGTTGTGAGTTCGAGTCCCAGTACCAACAACAACAAAAAAGATCTGAACCATAAAAAGGATCACGTGTTAAGGACAGCGGCCAGTCCCAGGAACATGCAAAGGTGGAGCTTCTTTTTCCTATGTTTTATATTACTGTCTTTGCAACTCTCATGTTTAATATTCCAGGAAACTCCAAACCTAGGAGCTGTCTATGACACAGCAATGGGAATATGCAGGGCAGGGGAAAGGACACAGTGAGTAGTTCCTACCTCCGTTGGAGTCACTTCATTGCCATAGTACACAGGCATCAGGTCCTCCTCACCCACAGCATAGGCCACGCGCAGGGGGACCCAGGGCACGAAAGTGGCATCATGGAACAGGTCTCGGTAGAGGCCATAATACTCAGCCAGCCGCTGCTTGTGGTAAGGGCCGCAGGTCCTCTCCCATTCTGCACGCACAGCCTCGAGGGGAATGCTGGCTGGGAAGAAACGGGGAGTTGGATGCAAGGAGGTGACAGGGACCGATGGTGCCCCTCCTCAGACCTACCTGTGCGGAGGCGGGCTGCCCGCTCCTCTTCCACACTGGCTCGAAGCTCCTGGCGGATCCGTTTCCGTTCCAGTAGCCTTTGCGCACGGCAGATCTTGGGTGGAGGCAGCCCAATGTCAATTTTGTCTTTAGGATCTGGGGAAGGAAGATATGTTGAAGGAAGGAGGATTAATTTTCTTGGTTAAACTCTTGGTCCGCTGATGGAGACTTCCTTTTGATTCATAATCTCCCCACATCTGAAGAGGGCCCCACTGGGAGCAAATCAGACATAAGGTTAAGGTGATGTTTGGGTTCCCTCAACCAGGTCACACTGTCTCGTCCAAGTCACGGGAAATCAAGAAAGATGGTCATTCTAATTACAACGGGGATCACAGCTGGCTGTGGGCTCACACCTGTGTCCTGTGGAATGAACAGCTGGAGCTCCAACTTACAGCACTTCTACACTTTAATGAGGAGATAAACTGTGCAAGTCAGATCAGGAACTATAAGCTTCTAGGTAATGCTGTGTCGCAGAACAGAGTTTGAGTAGTAAAGCACTGGACAACGTTCAGCCCAACACCTTTGTCATCTTACCCCAGACACAAATGTATTACGCCCTCATCAGGCACTGTGGTATACAACTGTAACCCCAGGACTGTGGGGAGACTGAGGCAAAAGATGGAAAGCTCAGCCTGGGCCACACGACTTACAGTAGAGACAAGTGCCCAAACTGCGATCCAAAACTCATGTACCGCAAAGAGCCAGCGCTGCAGTGAGAGCTGGATGCTGAGGTTTTAGTTTAGAAAAAGCACTTCGCACATTAACGTCTTCTGTCTTAAAAGAGAAACAACACAACTCATACTAAAGGTCTGCCATCACTGATTGAGACCCTCTCAAAAAAAAAAAGGTGTGTGGGGGGAGATGGGTGGAGATGCAGCTCAGTGGGAAGGACCTGAGTGCAAGCCCCAGTCCCAGCTCCCACCCCCCTTTTTTTTTTTGCAGAACCAAGGATTGAACTCAGTCCCTTGTGCTTGCCAGGTGAGCACTTATTCTACTGAGCTATCCCCCTGGCCCCCCATCCCACCCCCCATTAACAGGCTGCATCCTTTAATCCTCACAGCAATCTGGTGAGAGACACAATTATTTCCTTTTAGGATTAAAGAAACTGAAGCTCAGAGATGTTTATCCCTAAGAGGGTAGGCTGGGCACAAATCAGGTTACAGGCTTGTGCCCTTAACCCATAAAAAGTAGGTATAAATGCGTCAAAATGGATGCAGTGGGGCTTTTTGTTGTTTGCTTTTCGAGACAGGGTCTCACTATGTACCCAGGCTGGCTTTGAGCAGCCTAGTGATCCTCCTGGGATTACAGGCAGGGGCCAAAATACACAAAAATGGATGTACTTGGTAAGTCCTTTAGAGACTGTGTCCTTGAGTCACCTTGCCCAGGGCTTTAATTTCACATAGCAAAGTACTGGACACACCGTGCCAGGTACAGAGTGTGCAAGATGGGGTCCCCAGCTGCTGGGTGCTTGCGATCTGAGGAAAGGTGAGAGTCGGCAGCGGTGAAGCACAGGGAAGCTGTTAGGAAAGGGGCTTAGGAATGCACATTTTACTTTTTATTTGGTGGAACTGGGGATTGAACTCAGGCCCTTGCGCTTGCCAGGGAAGCGCTTACTCCACTGAGCCATCTCCCCGGCCCCAGAAGCCTGAACTCTTGACAGTGAAGAGATGATTTTCCTAGTAGGAGGGGCAAAACGTAAACATTCCTGGAGGGGGACGCAAGGCGATTTCCCGGCCTCGCCAACGTGCCGCGGACCCCTCCCCGCGCCCGGCCCCAGGGCCGAGGCCGGTGCCCACAGCTTCGGCCCCCGTCGCCCCGCACCTGTCTTCTCCCCAAAATATTCCTGGTAGGTCCGCCACCAGTGCGGGGCCCGCGCCTCCTCCTCGGCCCGGCGCCGGTAGCGGTCGAAGCTCCGGTACTTCTCCAGTCGCTCCAGGTTGCTCACATCGATGTCCTGGTTGGGCATCGGCCCCAGCGGGGGCGTCCGGCGGCCGAGGGCAGCTGCGGGCAGAGGAGGGCGTCAGGCCGGCTACACTCCGAGCCCCGGGGGGCGCGCCGGCCTCACCCAGGGGACCAAGAGCTCCCCGTACGTGGATCCCTCACCCGAGGTGCCGAAGCCCCGCCATCCCCGACTTTTGGACAGCACTACTCGCCACCAGGGCGCCGCCATCTTTCCCGCGCCGCCGCCAGGACCCCGGGAGAGGTGGCTGCAGCAGCGCCTGAGCGCCGCGCGCCAGCCCCGCCCCGAGCCGGGCCCGGCTGGCCACAGCCACGAGGGCCACCAGGGGGCGGCACACCCGGAGAGCGCCCAGAACCGGGGTGCGTCTCGGCATCCAGATTTTATTTAGGACAGGGTCTACAGGGTCTCGCTATTTAGATCGGACTCCTGTTATCCTCCTGTTTTAAGGCTCCCAAGAGCTGGAATTATAGGCGCGCGCCAGAGGGCGCATCTTAATCCCCTTTTCAGCGTGCCCCGGGGGCGGGGCCGGCACGGATGCCAGGGATCCAACATGCGGCGCTCTGTATAAGCAGCCCATTTAGTCCGCTGAGCTATCAGGCTGACCCTTTGCATCGATTTATGAACCCTACAGGAGACATCCTGAGCTCCCCGACCCTGCAAACCAGGGTTGAAGAAAGGAGTAGGGTCCATGCCCTAATTCTGGAGTCAGATTGCTTGGGTTTAAACTGCAGATTATGACCTTCCTTCCCTTTGCCCTTGTCGGTGTCTCGCTTGGGGCGAGGAGGAGGTAATAACAGAGTTGTTACATCTGAGTTAACCTAGCAGGAGTCCAGCTTGCTGGGCAAGCGTTGTACTGCTGAGCCAAATCCCCAGCCCCAAGTGTAGCTCTTCTGGATCATCTCATTTGCAACTAACCACACAACAGCATCAGGGACCTGGCTAAGGACACGGGATCATGTTCTAGATGGAGCTGCCTTGTTCTTGGGAGCCAGTTCTAACAAGGTAAAACTCGGTGGCTCAAGTAATTCAGATCCTTTTCTGCCCCAGCCCCCAGCGCTCTGCCCTAGAATATGAGCCTCGGTCGAAGCAGACCTCCACTTCTTCTGCACACCCTGCTCCTTAGGCCACAGGCCTTGGCACATGCTGTCACTTCTGCTTTCTACTGCCTAGGTTTTCCTGCTGTGGCCTGGGGAATACCATAGGGAGTGGTCTGTCTCAGAAGCCTTCCCTGACATTCCAGGGCGAGGCTGGGGCAAGGTGAGCTGCTCTGACACCAGCAGAAGCTTGCCCCTCTTCACACTCAGATGCAATGAGAGGTCTCCATCCAGCAGGAAGGGACCATACCGCCAAACAGCTACACTGCTCCTCATCACCTCTAAGCCACCCTCTGCACACTACTCTGGTAATCCATGAGCGGACTCACAGGCCAGCAGCACCTAAGCTGATCCTGCCCCAGGAAACCGCTGCTCACCTTGCAAATTCTGGATGCATGTGCAGTGGAAGCGAAGGCTGTCGGCCCAGGTGGACTGTGTTTACATCGTGGCTCCTTTTACAGTTTTACCTTTTCCTTTTCCTGCTGGATCCTCTTCTGTTTCTCTCCAGAGCCACCCGGCCTGGCCCCTCTGCAGCTGAGGACACACAGGATGTCCAGGTGGAGGTGCAAAGGCCTGCTGCTCACTGGGCCCCAGGTTCCTGCAGGCCTGCTCTCTCCCCAGGTCCACAGAGCCCCTGGGTGCAGGGCTCACTTGCAGTGGTACTGTCTGAAAGGCCCGTCCTGGACTTGTATGTGTTCATGTTGAGACAAACAGTGTATATGTGTGAGTCTTGAGCCTGTATGCCCATGATACTGACAGGGTCTGGCTCTAGTATGAATTGCTGAAGTCATTATGGTGGTCATCTACTATGGCTGAAGCCCTTAAAACAGAAGCCCATCTTCCCCAAGACCACCTCCCCCTTCTTCTCCAACTCAGGCCAGAGTACAGTTTCCTTTCACCCTTCCCCCCCCTCAGAAAAGACCCCGATCAGCTCCTCAGATGTATCTAAACATCCCCTCAAACTCTACCCCTAGGAAAGGGCCATAAAACCCTCAGCCTCCCTTTGTTCCAATCGAGAGCATTCCTTATCTTCTCCAAATTCTCTCCTTGTCCTCAAAGAAAATAAAGACCCTTTCCCTTTTTCCTTCCACTTCTCTGCTGTGCTAGGCGCCTGAAAACACCTATCAATCATCCTTATTACTGTCTACGAAAGTTTCTCTAAAAGGAATTTTTTTTTTTTTTTAATTTTATGGATTTGGTGCAGGGCCTCACCACGCAGCTCAGACTCATAGCGATCCTCCTGTTTCAACCTCCCCAGCGCTGGGATTACAGGCATGCACTACCATGCCCAATCTTGGTGGGCTGGCTTGGCATGCCCAGGGCAGGACCAGCACAGTATGTGATTGAATTGCCTGGGATTGAACCTGGGTCCATTGTGCTTGCCTAGGGAGGCACTTAGACCCCTGAGCTATCTCTGTAGCCCCAAATTTCTTTAAAAGTAATGGAAGGAAACATTATGACTTTGAGTTGTCACAATATTGAAGGAGTGAAAAAAGCCCAACATGCATTCCTATAGGCAGTCCAAATGCCTGGGCCCCAAGAGAGGCAATGTACGGGGATCATTAGGCCTCCTTAGTGCCGGTGACAGAGACAAGGACAGTGTCATCACCAGGTGTCTGTGGGATGTCACTGTTTGGCCATCCCGTGGGGATTGGCTACTCACTGGTGAGCAACACTTGAGTCACCCAAGACCTTCCTGACCCATGTCCAGGCACCAGGTGCCAAGGGAACACTTTTCTGTGACACCGCTGTGCTGTGCTGGGAATAGTCCTGCCCTCTGCCCCCTCCCTTGCACCACTGCAAATCATCCTCCAACACTTCCTGTCCCCACTCTTGTCCCTTCTGTCTGGTCCCTGCCCCACAGCCCAAATGGGTTTTCATAAATGCAGATGTGTTCTGCAAAACCCTTCAGGGACAGGCTGGGGATAGCTTAGTGGCAGAGCACTCACCCAGCACACGCAAAGCCCGAGGGTTGATCTCCAGCACCACAAAAACCAAACCAAACTAGTGCAAAAAGAAGACAGTTTAATGTGTCTGACCCAAAGCTGCAAGTTGTTGGCAAATAAAGGTTCCTGGGGCTGGGGAGATGGCTCAGTGGAATAAGCGCTCAGGAGAGAGCTTGGGGAGTACTGAAACCTAGGAGTCCAGCACCCTGTGAGGAGGAATCTGCCTGGGTACAGCCCTTCCCTGTCCCCTCCAGGCCTCCCAGGAGACCAGGAGGCCCTCCGTGTTCCCACTGGGGAAAGATGAAAGTCTGCTCAAGGCATCCCTAGACAAAAGGCTCCCTGTTGGAAGAGGCCTAGGCACAGAGACCCACCGCAGCTGCGTGCAGACCGGGGGATGGTGCACAGTGCTTGGGCTGAGGGAAGCCCTGCCTCCTTGGACCCCCAGGCAGCTGGGCATCTGAGTCAGCCTTGGTGGTCACGACTCCCTCGGCCTCCTGCTCCACCTCAGACCTGAGGCATGAGCCACAGCCCCTGGATAGGACATGCTCGCACCCTGTCTCATGAAGAGCTGTACGTGGCCTGGGCAGTGCCCAGCCTTGCTGCACACCTCCCCGAGGAGCTAGTGGCTTGGGGGCGGCAGCTGCTGGGTCTTGGTGCTGCAGCGAGGGCACAGCTGCCCCTCTTAGTCGGAGTGGGAGGTCCGATGGTAGGGTGAGTTCTCCAGTGATTCCAGGTAGAGCCGTTCATCCTCCAGGAAGGCACGGTTCTGTCGGGCAGATAAAGATGTGAGTTGACAGCTCTGTACACAGAGAGGGGACCCAGATCCTGTAGAGACAGCCCTCACCCTGGGCACCCTCCCTGGAGGCAGCAGGGAGTACAAAGTGCCCAGGCAAAGCTCTGTCCTCCAGGGGCCACTTATCAGCGCGTGGCTGTGTCTTCAAGCCCCAGTTTCTGTGTGTCCAAGAGAAGTTTAAGAAGCACATAGAGCCCCCCGGCCTCAAGCCCAGCACACAGGACACAGAGACAGCTGCTGTCGTTCCCACCCGTGGCCACTTGAGGTGTGCGGCAGAGGACTCCTGCCAGGTGCTTTGCTGGGAACTCGGCTGACGGCAGAGGTCAGGAGCTGTGTGCTGAGCACGGCTACGAATGTCTTATCACAGTCCCCAGCCCCCGCCTCTGCCCTGTGCTGCAAGGACTCTGCAGCATGACCAGAGTGACCTGAATCCAGGGGACACTCACCTGCTCATATTCATATCTCATCCATACCAGAAGGGGCTGAAGGTGCTGCGAGGGGCCACGGCTGGGCAGCTGACGGGAGGTAGGCGCAGCAGCCACTAAGGCACAGGCAGCTGTGTGGAGGGCAGAGGTCAAAGTGTGGGTCAGAAACCCAAGCAGCAGGGCTGGTTGCTCCACTTTCAGAAGCCTCTCGGAGCCTAGCGTGATGGTGCACACCTCTAATCCCAGCACTTGGGAGGCTGAGGCAGGAGGGTGGCCACAAGTTCAAGGCCAGTCTGAACTAAATGGCAAGATCCTGTCTCAAAAATATCAACTAAAAAAAAAAAAAAAAAATACTAACTAAAGAGGCCAGTCAAATAGCTCAGCAGATTAAAGCACCTGCAAGCAGGTGCAGGGGCCCGGGGTTCAATCCTGGGGCCTGCCGTGCTGGCTCCCAGCCAGGCATGCTGAGATGGCAATTGAGACTGGGCATGGTGACGCACACCTATAATCCCAGCTCCTGGGAGGCTATAAACAGGCAGATTACTATGAGTCCAGTCTAGTAGTGAGACCCTGAACACCCTGTAGACCTTTCCCTAGAAAAAGTTATTCTCTTTTTCTTCTCTTTTTTTTTTTCTGGTCTTTTTGGGACAGGTTTCCCTATGCAGTTCAGGCTGGCCTTTGATCTCACTTTGTGGCCCAGGCCCTCTTCTAACTCAATGATTCACCTGTCTCAGCCTCCCACTTGCTGGGGTTATAGGTGTGTGCCACCATGCCCAGCAGACACCAAAGCCAGAGACTGGGGTTGATGATGATATTACAAATCAAAAGAAAACAAAAATAATTTCTTTTCTGTTTTTTTATTGGTACATTTTGGATGTATTCAATGATAACATTCATCCTAGAGAATGTGTACCTATACATGATCTAGGCCAGCCAGATAGCTCAGCAGACTAAAGTGCCTGCTTATGGGCTGGAGAGATGGCTCAGTGGTCTAAAGCACCTACTTGGAACAAGTTTGGCAAAGCACAGGGACCGCGGTTCGATCCCCCAGCCCCACATGCCAGCCAGCCCCGCCCCCTGGTGGGCTGAGCTGGACACACACACACACACACACACACACACTAAATAAATGTAAAATATAAATAAATAAAGTGCCTGCTTAGGCAGAGCACAGCGACTGGGTTCGATCCCCAACTTGCATGCCGTGCTGGCCTGCAACCGGGGCGTTGAGACGGCGACTGTCACTGGGCATGGTGGTGTGTGCCTGTAATCCCAGCACCTGGGAGGCTGAAACAGGAAAACCATTATGAGTCCGATCTATGGTCTGTCTGTCTGTCTGTCTGTCTGTCTCTCTCTCTCTCTCAGTGATCTCCATATGTTATGCAGTTTAACCTCAAATATGTGGGGATCCTCCTGTATCAGCCTCCTGAGTATTGGCATTATAGGCCTGTATGACTACGCCCAGCACACTGGATACTCTCCAAATAAAAACAGATCTAAGAAGACAGCTAAACACACAGACTCTTGAGTTCAATCCCCAATACAAACCAATCCGAAAAACAAACAAAAAAAGAGTACTAATGAGATTCTGGGTGTGGTGCTATGTACCTGTAATCCCAGAGCAGAGATTCCAAGTTTAACCCAACCTGGGTATCTTAGTGATGTACTGCAAACCTATCTCAGGTTAAAAATATAAAAAGAGCGCACTGAGGATGCAGCCTGGTGGGATTGATCCTCAGTGCTGTGTGCACGTGCACACACACCCACCCGTCCACCAGCCCGCTCACAATAACAGAACTTTAGAACCCAGCTACAGCTGAGGGCCTGCTGGCATCTGCCCGGAGCCCTGCCCTGGCCCAGAGGAGACTTGTCCTTCCTCTTGGTGCCACTTACCACACGGGCTGGAGGGCACTGGGTTCTGGGCCCTGGGAGGAAGCTCCAGGGGGCAGCAAGGCAGGTCCTGTCCCAGGCGGCCAAGGTGCATCCTCTGCTTGGCCAGGCTCAGCTGCTCCTGTCCCCAACCCCAGAAAGAAGGACTCAGCAGGGAAGGAGACAGCTGCACAGGAGAGGTCGAGGCAGGGAGGGGGGACCTGCCTGGAGCACATGCTCTTCCTGCTGCCGAAGCTGCTCGTGCTGCCGCTGCAGCACCTGCAGCCTGGCCAGCTGCTCAGCCTTCATCTTCTGGGCCTTTTGCAGTGCAAGCTCGCCTTCCTCATACTTCTTAGAGGCCGCCTACAAAGAAGTACCTGGTTAGAGCTAGGGGGTCACTCGGGGGCCTTGGCCTGGACTACCCAGCCGTACCTTGCTCATGTGCTCCATCTCCTGGGCTCGGAGCTGCTGGCTCCAGGCTGTGGCCCTGACCTCCTGCTGTTGCCGCCTGAGCTCCTGCTGCTCCTGGGCCACAGCCTCCCTGTCCCTCGCCAGCTGCTCCTCCTTAGCCTGCAGCTCACTGGTCCTGACCTGCCGCTCTGCTGGCTCCTAGGGAAGGCACAAGCGTTCCGTCACCTCCTGAGCTGCCCCAGGCTTGGTGCACAGCCCACGGGGTCACCCTGCCTGCCCTGCCTCTCAGAGAGGCAGTGGTGCCAGGACTTCCAGAATAGGCAGAGAGGCCTGAGGCCAGGCTGGGTGCTCCTCACAAGCCACACAACTGCAGTGGGCCCATCTCTGAACCTCAGGTTCTTTGCTGTTTTGTTGTGTGTGGTACTGGGGATTGAATTCAGGGCCTCAAGCATGTCAGGCAAATGCTCTACCATTGAGCTACATTCCAGCCCCACATCATTTATAAAATGTCTGTCATGGCAGGTATGGCAGTACACACCTGTAATTCCAGCACTCAGGAGACTGAGATAGGAAGCTCACCATGGTCATGAGTTCAAGGCCACCCTTGGCTTCATAGTGACTTCAAGGCCAGCCTGGACTCTCAAAAAACTTAAACCAAACCAAAAACGTAGGGGCTGGGAGATGGCTCAGTAGAATAAGGGCTTTCCTGGCAAGCACAAGGTCCCGAGTTCAATCCCAGGTTCTGCCAAAAACAAAACATAAACCAAAAACATTTGTTATGAGACCACATGCACTGAGAGAAATGTGTATAAAGTGCCTTGGATGATACAAGGGTGGTGACTATTTATCTTTTTCAGACAGGGACTTGCTATGCAGTTGAGGCTAGCTTTTTTTTTTTTTTTTGCAGATCCAGGGATTAAACTCAGGCCCTTGTGCTTGCCAGGCAAGTTCTTACTCTACTAAGCCATCTCCCTGGTCCGAGGCTAGCCTTGAGCTCACTTTGTAGCTCAGGCTGGTCTCAAACTTGCAAGGATCCTCATGCCTCAGCCTCATGGGTGCTGGGATTATAAGTGCCTGGCTGTGACTACGATTTTAATGCTTTCTTTTTGGGTACTGGAGGTTGAGCCTAGTACCTTAAGCATACTAGGTAAGCACTTTACTACTGAGACACACTCCATGTTTTTTTTATTTTTGACATAAGCTCTCATTAACTTGCCCAGCTGGGCTGTGAATTATGGATCCTTCTGCTTCAACTTCATGAGTAGCTGGGATTCCCGGATGTGCCCAACATGTCTGGCTGGTTTCTATATTCTTGTTATGTCAATGTGATGCTCTTACTGTGATACTTCAATTCCCATTTCATTTTTTCCACGATTCTGATCACAAACCAAGTTGGACAAGAACCAACTCACATTTAATGATTAGGCTCAATGTTGCCCTTATGGGGAAATCTGATCCACTTCTCATCCAGTTCGGTCTGTGACCAGAATCAAGGAGAGAATCGAGTTGGTGAACCGCGGTACCGCTGAAATTCCTAGGCCTGGAAGCTGATGTACCCAGGGGAAAGGCCAGGGCTGTCCTGGAGGCGCTGGGCCTTACCTTGGCCAGGCTGATGATAGCGTCCAACTTGGTGTTCACCTGCATCTGCATCTAGGTTGGAATGACACAGGACATTGTCATCCACGGGTGTCTGTGCCTCGTGGTCATTTCAGTGTTCTTTAGTATTTCCTATATTTTACATATTTTCAATGAAATATGTTATATTATGACAAAGGAAAGAAAATGTTATCCTTTTTAAAATAAGGCTTGGGGCTGGTGAGATGGCTCAGTGGTCTAAAGCACCTATTTAGAACAAGCTTAGCAAAAAGCATAGGGACCGCGGTTCAATCCCCCAGCACCACATGCCAGCCAGAACGCCCCCTGGTGGGCTGAGCTGCCCCCCCCACAAATAAATAAATATTAAAAAAATAATAAATAAAAAAAAATAAAATAAGGCTTGCTCTTATACATGAATAATATGTGTGAAGTTAAACATGTGTGTCATAGTTGTGGGGGTTAAACTGCATTTTGTGGGCCAGAATGCCTGTCCTGATGCCACAGGCACCAGCTGATGTGGCAGACGAGGGAAAGGAGAAAGACAAGTACAGCTGCCGGTGGGAGGACTGCGGAGGGCGGGCCTGCGGCCAGCTTGTGCACAGGTGGGCAGAGGCAGGGAGGGACGGGAGGAGCACTGACAGCATGAGGAGGCATGCAGTGGAGGCCAGAGCCAGGCTGTGCCCTGGGGCAGGCGGCCTGCACGGGAGGATGTGCACCTGCTCCAGGCGGCTCAGGCGTTCTTCCATCTTCCCAATGTCCTCCTGGAGCCGCCTGTGCTCCTCCATGGCACGCTGCTGCAGGTCCAGCCGTTCCTGCAGGACTGGGAATGGCCACAGGGCACTCAACACCTTGTCCTCCTTCCCACCAAGGGGACACCAGCTACAAGAGGGATGTACCTCGCAGCTGCTCATCTTGCTGCCGGATGCCCGATTTCCGCTCCTGTGAGGTGGTGAGGTGCAAGGCTTCCACGTGGGAGGCCAGCTCCTTCAGGCTGCTGGACAACTGTTCCATCTGGGACCTGGAGGATTGAGACACCTTGTCCTGGGGATATCCAGGCTTGAGACCTAGGGTGGGCAGGGCTGGGGTCACACATATCGTGTGAGGGAGGCGGCCCTGGTGATGGCATCGATCTCTCGGTCCCTCAGCCGCTTCAACTGCTGTAGCTGTTCCTCATGGTCCTAGCGCATCTCCGGGATGGACGCCCTGATAGGAAGCGGTGGGGCAGGCCCAGTTCTATTCTGAGAAAGGCCACATGGACAGATGGCACAGAGAACACCAGGGAAGCTCTTCAGGGAAGGTGCAACCCTCCCCGTCCCCCACAGCTCTGCTTTAACTTTCCCAGCTCCAGTGCCTTTTCTTTCTTGGTGTTTCAATGCCCTTTGCACCAATTCCTCCTATTATTTGGTAAAGGGCCCTTTTCATAGGAAACAAGAAGTGTGTACAGGCTTTCCAAATAGCTCAAAGGATTAAAGGATAGCTCATAGGCAGATGCAGGGGCTGGAGGTTCGATCCCCAGTGTGCTGTGCTGCTCCCCCCACCCCCCCAGCGCTGAGAGGATTAAGACTGGGCATGATGGCGCGTACCTATAATCCTGCTCTTTGGGAGGCTGAACACAGCAGAATCACTACGAGTCTGATCTACGTAGTAAGACACTGTAGAGGGCTGGTGAGATGGCTCAGTGGTCTAAAGCACCTACTTAGAACAAGCTAAGCCAAGCAAAGCACAGGGACCGTGGTTCAATCCCCCAGCACCACATGCCAGCCCGCCTGCCCCCTGGTCACACACAAAATAAATAAATAAATAAATAAATAAATATTAAAAATAAATAAATAAAACTGTGAGCCAAAATAAACTTAAAAAAAACAAAACAAAACAAAACAAAACAACAACAACAAAAAAAAACACTGTAGACCCTGCAGACCATTCCCTAAAATAACTGCCCCCTGGGGGGGTGGGGAAACCAAGAAGAAAGCTGTGTGGATAAGCCTTTGTGGCCATTTGGGCAGTCTTAAAAGGACTATTCTATCCTCAGTGACTACAGTATCTTGTTAGTTTCGCTCTCACCTAGAAAACAACCAAACCAACACACCAGCACAGCAGGTACATCTCTCCCTGGTGGAGCTAGTCAATAGCCTCCACTGGGTCAGCAGAGAACGGATTAACCTATGTCTGCCTGGGCCCTGGGACGCTTTCTTGCTGCTACCATGCTTTGATCAGATGCTTAGGTATGCTTTGAGTCTTGTGCATGCCACCTCCTGCCTCAGTGGAGGGGCAATGGGCCAGTGTGGGCAGTCACTGGTCCTCACCTCATGGGCTGAGGAAGGGCTGGAGCCCTGTGCTAAGGTTGTAGGCCACAGCCTGGGGCTCACGAGCACTGTTCTCCTCGGGCCACTCCTTGACAGCTGGCTCCCACCCACCACCCAAGTCTGTTCTCACCGCTGCAGCTCCAGAAGCTGAATCCTCTCTTGATCTTTTTCCCGCTCAGCTGCGGCCAACGGGTGCTGGTGCTGAGCTATGAGCTCAGTGCGAGCTGGTGCAGTCTCGTGGCAGTGGGACAGGTACTGGGCTGACAGTTCTTCATTCTCTCTTCGGAGACGCTCCTCCCACTGTTGGTATGATGTCTCTAGCACCTTGATGCGACTTCTGCTGAAAGGACACCTCCCTAAAGGGTCTCCTAGCACATCACTGTGGTCTTGCAGCTCAAGGGAGATCCAAGCCAGCCCTCGGGCAGGTCACGGACAGCGGGGTGGGTACCTGAGTGCACTCTCAATGAGCTCTAGGTCTGCCTGGTGCCGCTGCTGCCAACTCTCCAGCAACACCCTGTGCTGAGCCTGCTCTAGCTCCAGCTTCCGCACCTAGGAGACAACAGAGCTGCAGGGTAGCTCAGGCGCAGCGTTTCCCCACATCTACGTTTCCTGCTGCTTTGAGCCTCATCCTTCTTCCTTCCTGGTAAGGCTTCTACTGCACTTACCACTATCCACAGTCTCCACTGCTAGGTACTTTGAGGCCCTCCTCACCTGGGCCTCCAGCTCTGCCAGCTGGGCCGGGCACTGCAGCAGCTCCGCCTGGAGTGGACCAGTGTCGCTCTGAAGCTGGGCCTGGGCTGCCAGGATTGCCTTCTGGTATCCTGTGCCTGGCGGCAGATTTTGTACCAGGGACTATGGGAGAGGACAAGAGCCATTCTAAGGAAGGAGGTCGCTGAGCGTGGCTACTCCCTGGCCCTCTGCTCACGGGACTGCCTGGCCTTGCCCCTTATTTGTGGCTAAGCTGGGGGAGGACCAGACCAACTGAGCGGTCAGCAGCACCCACACTTTTAACCGGTCATGAACGTGGTTGCCCGCCCCCTCCAGGTCCCAGCCAACAACTTGCGGCCAAGTGTTGGAGATACTGTGGCCCAGTGCAGCCTCCAGCTTTGGAGACAAGTAGCAGTCATAGTTATGACAAAAGCTTCTGACACTGGCCCTCCTATTAAGTCTGAAGGCCACAGGTTAAAACTAAGCTGGTCTTCACCCACCATCTCCCAGGAACATAATCCTGAGTACCACTTTTCTAGGGCTCAGGTGTCACAGGTGACAGAACTGGAGAATCCATGGCAGGAGAGGAGGGATGGGGGAGGCTTTCTAAATGGACCAGCGGGACATGTGTGTCTTGGAGCATTCCCAGCTGTCCCAGATGGCCACTTCCAAAACCCTGCTGATGCTGTCAGGATTACACCCACTCTACTAGAAGTCACGAAGCTAAAACCACAGCAGGGCACAGATGGGAGACACCAGAGCAAGCTGGCTGCTGTCACATGAGGCATGTGTGATACACTCTTCAGATTTCATGTACAACTCTGGAGTTGCCTCTGAGCATGGGACAATGATTCCCTGGGGCCCAGACCCACCTCCATTTGTCCCACTCCCTACCTGGACAGGCACAGGGAGCACCGTGGGTTTCTGGGAGCTCAGGAAGCAAGCTGCAGGTTCTGAAACGTCTACAGCAGAGAAGCAGAGAAGTAAGAGGGAGACCAGGAGAGTTGCAGGCTTTAGGCCTCTGTGCAGGAGCTCATCTCCAGGTCCTACAGCCTTAACTCCGACTGTGAATGTGACGGGATTGAGGAGCACCCAGGACATTAGTACTGCGCACTGCAGGGTACAGTTGTGCGCACATCTTCAGGGATGAGACGGCGCTGGCTGGGAAACCTGTCCTGGGTGGCACCATCCGACAGGGCTACGTAGGGGAAAGCCACGCACACTGACATGGGCAGACTTGTCTCCTTTCTCTGCCTCCTGCCAGCTATGAGGTGAGCTTCTCTGCTTCAGCACTGCTCACCATGATGTGTCCCCACCTTGGACTGGAATCTCTGAATGTGTGAGCCACACAGCCTTCCTCCAGGTGGTTTTTCTCAAGTGTTTGTTCAGTGATGAAAAATTACCTCTACAGGCCCCAAAGGGGCTCTAGGTACCTCTGCCTCACTCAGGATTAAATGCCAAAGAAAGCAGAAAACGAACCAGTACAGGAAGGGTCTCCAGAGGCTGTTTTCCTCTTTAGGTCACCTGCAGAGAGGGCCAAGGCGGCCTGGCTGCAACTTGTGGGGGACCTGGGGACAAAGGGACAGGGCCGCATGTTGATCAGTTCTGTGTGTAGAACAGGGAGAGACAAGGATCAGTCACACCAGGGGAAAAGGGAAATACTGTGTTTGAATGCCTAGGTGGAAAGGCCCAGTGGTCAGCAGCTTATCAGGAGTGCAGGACCCAGTTGGTGAATATGGGGACACAGCCTCCAGAAGCTTCGTCATCAGTGGGCCTGACAGAGATGCTGAGTGCTACAGAGCCAGCCTGCGGTCTGGGGTCGCCCACCTCTAGGGTGGAGGCCTGGCAGCTCCCCTGCCTCCCCCTCTCAGCCCTAGTGCACACATACCCTCCAGCATCAGGCCTGATGGCTGGTGCTTCTGGTGATGCTGCTCCTCCCAAGGTTCTTCCAGCAGCTGCCTCATCACCTTCCTGAATGCAGGCAACTGGTTGGCTGAGGACAGTCGAAGTTGAAGAAGAAAGTCACAGCAAGCTCAGGTTGGATTGAAGGTGACCCTAGACCAGCTCACAGAACTAAGCCTGAAGGGCTCCTCCTCTCCCTGCTGCTCCCGCCATCATCTTGGAGAATCCCCCCTAGTCTGAGCACCCAGGGTCAAAGGCTACTCTTCCTTTGCAGGACCTACTCCCACCTCACTGTCCACTGTGACGTGTAACTGGACACTGTCCTAGAGCCACAACGGGCATGTCACACATGGAGGCACTCAAGTTCAAAGTCCTGGTGTCTGGCTCCACTTATCTTCATTCAATCTTCCATTGCTGCTCCCTTCAGCTGCCCCCCAGGGCAGTCACCTTCAGTTCTGCTCTTTTCTATAATTCCCATCTCTCTTTGCAGTCTTGCTGTTTGGGGCACAGTTTTTCCCTTGGCTTCAAGTCAAAGTCTACTTGCTACACCAACCCTGGTATGTGGTGCCATCCCTGGCTCACAAAACCACATCTCTTCCCTCAGCTCTGATGGTGGAGTGTGTCACCACTTCCTCTGCACCCTCAGCCTTGGGACCCTTCAGCTGGCCCTTGTGCCCAGGTTCCTGCCCACTGGCCCCCACTGCAGCTCCCAGGAGCTGCCCGCTGGGCACCGCGCCTTCTCAGACATCCCCAGGAGCGCATGGGACTCTCAGCTCACACACACTTTAGTCACTCTAGCTTGGGTCAACAGAAACACTGACAATCTCCATACTGGGCTTTGGCACCAGCCTCGAGGCTCGAGGGCTGGGCCCAGCTCAAAGGCAGGGGATGGCAGAGTCCACCACCTCAGGACGCCCTCTGTCCTCTCCTGCCAGCCCGCACCTGGCCCGAGCAGCAGCTCTCTCTGCTGTGCCCAAGAGGAAGGCGAGCAAGGTCTCCCAGTGGACACAGCAGCCCAAGCCCGTACCTGCCAGAAGGGGCAGACCTTGCTGTGCATGGTGGATTCAGGGTCTTATAAGCCCCAGTATGCTCCTCTCTGGCCAGACGTTGGGACTTCTTCTGAGCTAAGAGGCGGCCTAGCCAGTCCTCTGCCTCTTCTTTCTCTTGGGATGCTCCTAGCTTGGGAGCGTGGCTGGATTGGACAGGGGACATGGCACCCTCAGTTGGTAACTCTGTTCCTGAGGAGGGTACAGGAGGGACAGAATGCAGGCCCGAGGCTGAGTGCTGGCTCATAGGAGGGGCAATGGAGGGTGTAGACATTACTGCGTCGCCTCCTCCGGGCTCTCGGGTGGGAGAGGCAGGGAGCAGGTTCAAGTCTTCATCCTTGAGGCCCAACCAGTCAGCTCCTCCCTTTCTGGGGGGGACGGGGCTGGAAGCTGCTGGAGGGCTCCATTTGGAGCTCAGTTCTCCCTTAGGGTCTGGGCCACTTTCTGTTAACAACCTGTTTCAAGACAAAGAGAAAGGTGTCAGGCCATGGAGGCAGTTGTCCCAGTAGCCCCCTGCCAGCCTTTCCCTCTGTGATGGAGGGACTGTAAGGCCCAGAGCCAGAAGCGAGGGATCACACAGTCAGACCAAAGCCCAGCAGTGGCTCCCAGACCAGGTCAGGTGGAGGGGCGGCGGCAGGCGGTGTGCTGTCTACAGAGCACTAAGAAATACAGGCGTGCTTGTAATTTCAGCACTCAGGAGGCTGAGGAAGGAGACTCAATACAAGCCTGAGGCCAGCCTCAACTGCACAGTGAGTTCCAGGTTAGCCTGGACAACCTAGTGAGACTGTCTCAACCAAAACACCACAAACAAAAACAAACACCTTTTCCCTAAGCTCGAATCACCTCAAGATACAGATCAAACAATGCTGGGAGGAAAACACCAAATTCAGAAACTTCCATCATGGATGAAGTTTTGTTGCAAAGTGGGAAGAGTGCAGGGTCAGGCCTGCCTGGGCAGGCTCCGGGCAGTGTCCCAGGAGCAGGCTGCAGGTGCCGCTGCCACAGGCTCACGGTCTCACTCACTGCTGGGCAGCGTTCCGCAGGGAGACCATGGACAGCGCAGCTTTGACTGGCGGAGGAAGCCACTGTGCCTTTCATCCCAGAGCAGCCCCCAGTGCGAACTCAGGGCTGCGTGGCAGGAACTGGGACCAGAGTCCTGCGGGAGCAGCTTTCAGCCCTGTCTGCACTCCTGGGGAGCGCCCTCTTCTGCAGTGCTTAGAGCTAGTGCTGTCACAGAGGCTGTCAGCGGAGCGGGGAGGCCTGGGGAGACTTGTCTCTCCAGTGGCCAGCCTGTCCTGGAGCCCAGTTCCCTCCAGGCCCTGCTCACCTAACAGACTGTGGGTGGGACTGCCGGCCCTCCGAGGAGCCCCAGGTAGGCTGGTAGGCCCCAAAGGTGAGGACTTCGTCATCGTAGGTGTCTTCTTTGTCTGAAAATTAAGAAGCCTGTGACTGTGCTCTAGAATCGAGCACAAGGGAAGCCCAATGTTTCATTTTTGGACAGTGCTGTGGATGGAATCAAGGTAAATGCTTCTCCACTGAGTGCAGCCTCAGGGCTGCGAACCCAACTTTAGCCCTCCCCCCCTCCCCCCATAAGGAGTCTGTCTAGAAATGCTGAATCAGATGCTGACATATGAAACAAAGCAAGGCAGGGTTGCCCTCGAAGAAGCACTATGGCTACACAGGACCAACCAGGAGCCAAGAAAACACTGGCCAGGCCTTGCCTCCCTTTTTTTCCGCAAGGTCAAGCTTAGTGCACTGTGGGTCACAGAACAAATCTTAACAGCTGGCTAGTGCAGCAATGTTTTGGGAAACACCAGTCCACAGGAACATTTGCACACCTGAGCTGCTGTCTCTCATGGGGTCAAGAAACTACCCTGAGCTGGGCAAGGCGGAACATGCCTGCAATCTCAGGACTGAAGCAGGAAGACTGAAAGTCTGAGCCCAGCTTGGACAACTTGACAATTTACCTAGCTCCTGTCTCAAAATACAATATATAGGGGCCGGGGAGATGGCTCAGTAGGATAAGCACTTGACTGGCAAACTCAAGGATCTGAGTTCAATCCCCGGTTCTGCCAAGAAAAAAAAAAAAAAAGGAATCTATCAAAATACAATATATAGAGAAGGACTGGGGATGTCCTCTCAATGTAAAGGCTCTGGGTTCAGTCCTTGGTACTGGGGAGATGAAATAAAGTAACATAAAAGTAAAGTAAAATAAAATAACTTTACAAGTGGTGAGCGGTATATTCATACACGTAACAGTATCTACACAGAGCAGCCAGGTGCAGGTGGGGTGAGAATAAATCTCAGGCATCTGTGTTAAGTTACAGATGTATTCAGTAACGTGTGTACTGTGACATGGAGTTATCTGTTACCTGTTATGGTAAAACCTTGGCTAGGGGCCCCTCCCTGCCCTCCTGTCCTGGCCCACCCTTTCCCCAGGCTTTCTCACCCTGTGACCTCTGGCACTTCTTGTCTAGCTTGAACTCCCTCTGTTCCCCAGTTCCTGGGCGAGCTAGAAGTTTGGTGGCTGTGCCTCGACCCAGAAGTTCATCCAGCTTGGAGCGAGCAGGCTGGGGACCTTCCCTGCAGGATGGGAGGTGGAAAAGGGGTGTGTGACTACAGAGGCTCCCCATGTCCTCTCCCTTGATTTTTTCTCTGGACCTGAGGCAGCAGCCCGGCCAGACTCCCCACCCATGTGGACGCTTACTGGCCTCCCATTTGCCTCTTCTCAGCAGTGGGGCTGTCTCCAAACCCCAGGGTGGCCATGATGTCATCCTTATCATCAAACAGCAACTCGTCTTTCTTTCGGACGGGGGTGTCCCCAGGAGTTAGAGGAATAGAAGGACCTGAAAGACAGAACCAAGGCCCTATGCCCATGGCTTTCTTGCCCTCCATCGTCACTAAATGGGCTGGGGTAGGGTCTCTCTGTCCCTGAGCTTCCAATGGGGCAGTGGGGAGGGGCTGCCCATGGGACTCGAGGTCCCCACCCCCACCCCTCTGCTCCCAGAGACTGGTATCTCTTGGTCCTGGACCTGAGGCCTGAGGTCTTGCCCAGCTGAGGGCTCTTGCTAGTGAGCTGGTACATTGTCCACAGCATCTCTCCCAGGATAAGGAACAAGTCTCCCCACCCTACCTGGCTCTCTGCCTGTGCTGAGGTTCTTATGTGAAGTGGTTTTACTCTCTGTCACAGGTAGCTTCTTGGCAATTCCTTCCTCATCATCAGAGAGAAGTCTTGCTAATGGATCTTCCAAGTCTCACCACCAAAAAGGAAAGAAGTCAGACTGTGATGCTTTGCTCAGGTAAAAACACCCTAGACTGTGGTAGCTACCACTGCAGCATAAATGAGCTGCTCAACATGTACAGGGCAGGGCCTGGGGGAGCTGCGCATGAGGACAGTTTGCTGGGCAAACCCAAGGGCCTTCTGACTCTGCTGGCCCATGGGCTCCTGGAAACAATTCTGAGGTGTCAGAAGAGAACATTGTGCATTGTGAAGGGAAAGGATGACCCTATACTTTAGTTTCCCCAAAAATAGAACAAGTAGAACCTTGCAGAATCCATGAGGATCTAACCTGAGGCAAAGGCTATCTGTTCTTCCTCAGACACACACAGCACCTCAGATAGGCAGAAGGGGATTACAAACACTACTGTCAAACCAGAGTGTCCCGTTTGAGCCCTGCCTGAGCAACTGTCTCAAAATAAAAGGGCGGAGGATGCAGCTCAGCGCAAAGCCCCATGGTTCAATCCCTAGTACCACAAATGAACAAGCAAGCAAACCAACAAACCAACAAAGGGAGTGTCCCAGAAGCAGGACTGGGGTATCTCTGGTACCTTCAAAAGATAACCTTCTGTACTGATGCCCCAAATTGCTGGGTGAGGGAGATGGCTTTCTGGTGGGACTGGTATCCCCTATAGGAAGAACAGAGAAAGCAACCTGGGCCTGGGTCTTTCCTAGTCTAAGCTTCTTCTCTACACCTTGGACTGGGGCCCCTGGGATGGTGAGGACTTCACTCTAGAAAACTGAGGCTCAAGGCTGTGGATACAACCATGGAGGGTCCCCACCCACCTGTTCTCACCCATGCTTCCAACAGGGCAATGTGGCAGGAAGCCATACCTGTCCCTTGTTATGAATCACTCCACACAAGCATGGGTTTGAGAGACAGACAGGTACCATCAAATTTCCCACTTTAAAAATTACCGTTGCTGTGCTCGAGAGCTTTGTGCATTCTAGGTGAATACTCTACCGCTGAGCTATAATCCCAGCTCACATTTCTATTTTAACTCAAAAAGCTCCTCTAGGAGTTTCCTACAACAGATTTAAGAATGACTGGAACAGTCCCTTTCTGTACCATAAACACACACACACACACACACACACACACACACACATACACACACACACACGCTCCTTGGTCTCTATTCCAAGAAAATCTGTAAGACATGAGAACACCTTTTCTTTCTTTCTTTTTTTTTTTGGTCGGGGGTGGGGGGTAGGTACTGGCCTTGCCCTTGCTAGCCAAGCCCTGGGGCCTCTGAGCTACATCCCCGGCCTGCATCTTTTCTTTTCTTCTTTTTGTGGCCAGCTCAGCCCACCCTGGGGAGCAGGGCTGGTGTGGCATGTGGTGCCCAGGATCAAACCACAATCCCTGTGCATTTGCCTAAGCTTGTCCAAGCAGGCGCTTTAGACCGCCGAGCTATCTTGCCGGCCCTGCATCTTTTCTTTCTAAGCAGCTTCTGTGATCCCAAAGTCTCGCTCACCTTCTTCACTGGCTGTTAACCTGCCAGCAGGTTTGGGATTACAAGGCAGCTCTTGTTTCCCAGAACCCTTTCCTGCTCTTTTGTTAGAGGATGGAGACTTCTTCAGGCCCAGGAGATCGGCATCCATGTCATCTAGATCCTAGAACAGCAGGAAGGATGGGGCACAATGCCTTAGAAAGCCTTGAGGGGCCCCCACTGTCCATGTGAAAAGGCTCAGCTCTAGAGGGGTACTGGGAAGTGGACTCTGTGGGGCTTCAGTTCCTGGAGGACCTGCCCTTGAAAGGTGCTGTGTGACTGCATCTGTCCCTTTCTCTGCTTCCCTATATGCTTCTGTCATGAGGTGCCACCATCTGCCTCTCTCCAGAAGGGAAAGCAAAAGTCAGATTGTGGCTCTTCCTAGAGACCAAACCAGTCCCAACCCCAACCTTATCTTGGGCCTTGAACCTCTAAAACTGTGAGCTCAATAAAGATTCTCTTGGGACTGGGGAGGTAGCTCAGTAGAACAAGTGCTTGCCTGGCAAGCACAGGGTCTTGAGTTCAATCCCCAGTACTGCTAAATAAATAAATAAATAAATAAATAAATAAATAAAAGATTCTCTCTTGACATGCCATCTGCCTCACACATCCAAGGGCAGAATTGTGAAAGAACAAAGGAAACAGAAAAATGGTGATTGGGAATGAAAATGGAACCAAAGGTCGACAGAGTGGGGTGAGAGTCAGGCGTGATGGTGCAAGCTTCCCAGCACTTGGGAAGCAGAGGCAGGAGGGTAACTGTGAGTTAGACGATAGTCTGGGCTTGGCTCATGATTCTAGAAGGGGTGACTGAAAACTACCCCCAAAACTGAGTCAGAGCAATTGTAGGTCATATGTGCCTTAGGGCATGGCTGCGTGGCCTTAGGAGGACAATTTCAGACTGGGTTTAAAGAAGTTGATCTTGGGGCCGGGGAGATGGCTCATCAGAATAAGTGCTTCCCTGGCAAGCGCAAGGGCCTGAGTTCAATCCCTGGTTCCGAAAAAAAAAAAAAAAAAAAAAAAAAAAGTTGATCTGGAGCTAAGAAGATAAGGAACCTCATGCTGTCCCCTCAGGTGGTAGGAGGGGTAGAGAGGACCCAACCAGGTGATTCACTAGGAGGGGAGTGGCCTTGTTTCACCAGAAGAAGAGGACCAAGAAATGTGGCATAGACTTTCTATCTCCAGATAGGAGGAAAAGATTTATACTCAGAGGGGTTAGAAGAGAAACCCCTGACTCAGGGTGAGCTGTGTTCCCACTAGGTAGAACTCAGAAACTGGAGATGTAAAGGAAAAATTACAGATGTAAAGTATTAATAGTTCACCCAGCCGCAGCCCTGAGGATCAGAAAGTTCTTTTCTTACCTTTATGGCCTGTAGCAAGGCCTGTGCGTCTGGATCTGAGATGTCAGATACCTAAGTCCACAAGAGGCACAAGTGAAAGAGATGAGAGGCATGTTAGTCTAGGCCCAACACCACTCAGGGCTCCAATCCCTTGTCACCGTGCTTCTGTAGGAGCACAGGGCCAATGGGGCACAAACAGGACTATCCCCTCACCTAGGGCTTAGCTATAGTGTGAAGTCAAATCCACCTAATTATGGAGACCCAGAGAGCTCTGCTACTTTCTGTCCCTCTCAACTGGAGAGATGACTTTCATCACAGAACTCCTGTCAGGCTGCTTCCCAATCACATGAGCAGATGGTGTGGAGTTTCTCACAGGAAGGGACAATATCCAAACCCAAAGTGCCATGAGCTCTACTGTTTAGTTCATCATTCTAGGGAAAAGGAGACAGATACTGCTTTGAGTCTACATGGTATCCCTTGGGGATTGCTTTGCTTTAAGAACAAACTGACTGCAGACTTCTGAACACTTCTGTGAGCAGTTCGCTGGCCACCACACCAACCTTGCCTTGCCTAGGGTCAAATCCAAAAGATGAGAATTGAGAACTGGGTTGGACTCACCTCAGCATCAGCTCCTGCCAAGCCTCCCAGAGTGTCAAAGCCGTCATCTTCCCGGAAGGAGCTGTAAAGGGGTAGAAAAGGACCATCACTCGTGCCGAGGGCACTAGATGACCCTAAAAAAATGAAGAGACTGAGGGGCTAGGAGTGTAGCTCGGTGGTAAGGCACATCTTTAGCATGTGGGAGGTCCTCCATTCTATCTCAGCACCACCACCATCAGAAAATAGTGGCTTAAAGGGTTGAAAGGAACTTGAAGGAACTTCTTCAGGAAGACAGATATGCTAAAGAGAATTTCACAGGCTGCCTAGTATAGTGATCTTATATTTTTATAAAGCAGTAGAGTCTTAAAAACAAATTGTTAGTTGGGAGCAGTGACACATACTAATCCTAGTAATATGAGAGGCTGAGGCAGGATCACAAGTTTTGAGTTCCACCTGGGCAACTTAGTGAGACCTAAATAATAGAGACTGAGACTGAGACTGAGACTGAGACTGAGACTGAGACTGAGACTGAGACAGACAGAGAGAGAGAGAAAGAGACAGACAGACAGACAGAGACACCAAGAGACAGAGAGAGAGAGAGAGAGAGAGAGAGAGAGAGAGAGAGAGAGAGAGAGAGAACTAGTTAGTTCAGTATGAAGATCCTGGGTTTAACCCCAGTACTGCAAAGTAAGTAAAACTTTAGCAAGACACAGTGGCACACACTTACGTTCCTATCTTTGAGTTGACTTGACATGACATCCCTTGGATACTGCTGAATTGACTTTGCAGACTAAGCCAGGAGGATTTCAAATTTGAGGCCAGTCTAGACTACACAGAAAGGCCCTGTCTCAAAACACTAATCAAGCAAGCTAGACATAGTGGTGCAAGCCTATAATCCCAGCACTAAGGAGGCTGAGGCAGGAGGATTGCTTTGAGTTCAAGGCCAGACTGCATTACATAGCAAGACCCTGTCTCCAAACAAATAAACAAAACCAATCACTGTTAAGAGGTAAGAAAGAGAATTGCTCTAGCTAAAATCAAAGTGAGGGGGCCAGAGAGATAGCTCAGTAGAATAAGTGCTTGCCTGGCAAAAGCAAGGGTCTGAGTTTTCAATCCCCGGTTCTGCCAAAATAAATAAATAAATTAAAAAAATCAAAGTGAAACATCACAAAGTTCCTTGTCATCTGCTGTAGGGAGAACAAACATAATTTGAAAGTTACTGATCTGGACCAGTTTCTTTATTCTGTGTGTGTGTGTGTGTGTGTGTGTGTGTGTGTGTATGCATGCCGATGTGTGCACACGCGCATCTAAAAAGTCTCACTATACAGGGTAGGCTAGCCTTAAGCTTCTTATGTAGCTCAGGCTGGCCTTGAACTCAGTGATCCTCCTGTCTCAACTTTCTGAGTGCAAGGATTACAGGCATGCACCATTCAATTCCCTTATTCTCAAGATAAGGAAACTGAATTGCCCAAGTAACACTTGTAGGACTAGATATTGGGCTTTCTGACCTCCAAGTCAGGTCTCTTTCCATCTTCCCAGCCCACTTCGATAACTGGAAATGGGGCTGGGAAGATAGATCAGTAGAATAAGCACCTGCCTGACAAGTGCAGGGTCCTGAGTTCAAACCCCCTACCACAAAAAAACTGTCCTACCAATTTGATTTGAAACTGTCTCATTTTTGTTTATCAATAAAATTATGGGAAAAAAATAAAAAAAAAAAAAAAAAAAAAGATACCTGGAAATGGAGGGTAGGTGTGGAAATTCCTGACATTCCCAGTGGGTACATATCAAGGGGGAAGAGGAGTAGCTGGCAGAGCACTGTACTGAAATGGCCTTGGATCCCCAGGGCAAGCAGTGTTTACCTTCCTCTAGCCTTTGAAGAAGTGAGCTTTGGAGGTACATCTGTGGCATCTCTGTTATAAGGAACTGGTTCAACAGGCTTCTCAGGGAGTATCACTGGATCAAGGGAAACCAAAGGTGTCACTTAACTTCAGACAACCACAGCAGAGATGCAAACGATATCGATATCGGGTCCCCCACCCAGCAGGCCCCTCACTTTCTAAGGACAAAAGGGCAGCTCCCAACATTATCCCCTGAAAAGCCTGAATAAAGGCCAGGCTGGAGCAGTGAAGGACATCAACCCAGATTTTAATAAATGCCAAACAAAGAGCTCAACCCAACCCAGCCACACTCAGGGGAAGGTGGGCTGGAACCCATGAGTCAATGTTTTGTGGGTTCTTCCTGTCACATGGAAGAAACCTAAGCCTTCCTGTCCCTGGAGAGCTAGGCCTGCCCCTGCAGCCGTGCTCCTCAGCGCACCTACATGGACACAAAGGGCAGGGGCCAGGAGCCAAAACATACAAGGACCTCTTACCGCTCAATAATAAAATGCCAAATATCCCAGGTAAGATCTGAGCACTTCTGCAAAGCTACACAAATAGAGCTGGATGTGGTAGCACATACCTGTGATCTTAATATTCTGGGAGCCCGAGACATAAAGATTACGATACTATGCAAGAAAAATATTATTTCCAACCTGTTAGATGTCAAATGTATCCACTTTGTGGTCTCACAACATGGATGAAGTTACAAACCAAAGGAACACACCAGGAGTGTTTTATTGGAAAAAAGGAGAGCAGAGATGATGAAGGTCCAGGAGAGGTCCTGGGGGTGGCCACCGAGGCCTTCTGTGGAGGGTACTTTACACAGCAGTCACTGCACAGGTGGGTGTGGGTGAGCTACAGTCACCACTCGGGACTACAGGTTTACTAGGGGACAGTGTGTGTCACTTTTGGGCTGCTTAGTAAACATTCAAAGAAAAAAAAAAAGGATTACAGGTTACCAATTAGCTCAGTGACCCAATAGGGGAATGAGTGAGCGGTGAGGGCACATGGAAAGAAGGAAGACCTTTTCAGGAAGAGATGGATCCTGGTGCTCTGTTCACCTGCCTGGGCGTCTGACACCTACCTGGACTTACTAGAAAGCATGGTGATGATTATAGTATAATGTCCAGTTGCTGTTTATCTCCAGAACATGCAGGCCTGGTTATTGCTTTTCCCTCCTGAACTGTGGCTTTCTTCTAATGTGTCTTCCACTACAGTGCTCTTTATTTTTGTGCTGACTTCCTTGAGGGCTCAGTCCCTCTATGGCTGTATACTAATTTCTATCCAACTTAGCTGCCTATGAGTCCAGCCTGGGCAACTGAGCAAGACCCTGGTTCAGAACAGAAGGACAGGGGCTGGGGAATGGCTCAGTAGACTAGGTGCTTGTCTGGCAAGCACAAGGTCCTAAGTTCAATCCCTGGTACCACAAAAAAAAAAATTGGGGGGGTTTCTTAAAAATGTTAAACACTCTTGGGGCTGGTGAGATGGCTCAGTGGTCTAAAGCACCTCCTTAGAACAAGCTTAGCAAAGCACAGGGATCGCTGTTCAATCCCCCAGCACCACACGCCAGCCAGCCCCGCCCCCTGGTGGGCTGAGCTGTCCGGCAATACACACACACACAAATAAACAAATAAATAAATTTAATAAAAAAAAAATGTTAAACACTCTTACCATATGGTCCAGAAATCTATGCCTAGGGCCGGGGAGATGGCTCAGTCTTCCCTGGCAAGCACAAGGGCCTGAGTTCAAACCCCAGTTCCGCAAAAAAAATAAAATAAAAATCTGAAAACATGTCCACATGAAAGCTTGTTACAAATTTTCCTAATAGTATTATTCATAATAGCCAAAATATGGCAATAATTCAAATGTCCATGATTTGATGATGAAATAAAAATGTGGTAGAGCCATATAGCAGGCTATTACTTAGCCACAAAAAAGAATATGGTACTGATTCATGCTACAGTATCAATGAACTTTGACAACATTATACTAAACGAAAGCAGCTAGATGTGAAGGCCAGATCCTGTATGATTTCATGTTACATAAAATGCCCAGCATAGGCCATTCCATAACAGAGAGGAGATGGATGGTTGCCTAAGATTAGGGCTTATGGTAAAGTAGGGTGATGAAAATGCTGGAATTAGAATGTGATCACTTTACTACAGACAACCACAAAGACATACAAAGGATAGCACTGATTCTAAATTTCACTGAATTGCACACTTTATTCTTTTTTTTTTTTTTTTAATTTAGAACTACCTTTTTAAATATTTATTTATTTTTATTTATTACATTTATTTATTGTGTGTGTGTGTGGTCAGCTCAGCCCACCAGGGGGCGGGTCTGGCTGGCATGTGGTGCTGGGGATCGAACCGTGGTCCCTGTGCTTTGCCAAGCTTGTTTCAAGTAGGTGCTTTAGACCACTGAGCCATCTCTCCAGCCCCGCACACTTTATTCTTTTACGATAGTTTCAAGTGTAGTTCATGTTGGCCTTGAACTCATTAGGTAGTCTAGGCTCACCTCAAATTCATAGCAATCCTTCTGCCTCAGCCTCCCAAGTGAATTAAAAGAGCAAATGTTATGATGTGAATTTGTTTTTTCTTTTCTTTCTTTCTTTCTTTTTTTTTTTTTTTTTTTTTTTTTATTTAGGACAGAGTCTATAGGGTCTCATTGCGCAGATCCAACTCACAGTGATCCTCCTGTTTATAGCATCCAAACAGCTGGAATTACAGGCACGTGCCACCGTGCCCAGGCCTGGAGATCAAACTCTCAGCCCCTGTATTTGCCTAAACAGGCACTTTAATCCGCTGAGCTTTTGGCCAGCCCTCTGTCCACCTTTTGGACACAGGGCTTCACTATGCAGTTCAGGCTGGGCTGAACTTTCTAGCCCTGGCTGGCCTTTGCAGCAATGTTCTTGTCTCAGCCTCCCGAGTGCTGGGATTAAAGGTGTGCACTACCACTCCTGGCCTAACGTTTTAAAATTTTTGCTTCATTTTCTTGAGACAGAGTTCTCCATGTAGTTCAGGTGAATCATGAACTCACTATATAGGCCCAGCCAGCATCTAACTTGTGATCCCTCCTACTTCATCCTCCTTAGTGTTACGATTTCAGGCATGTACCACCACACCCAACTGACATATAAATTATATCTCAGTTTTCAGATGGTGGTGGTATTGGGGATTGAACACAGGGCCTTTGCTCTGAGATATACTCCCAAGTTTGTTTTTTTTAATTTTGAGATAAAAGCTCACTAAATTTTCCAGGTTGGACTAGAACATGTGATCTTCCCATCAGAGTACTGGGATTACAGTGTTCACCACTATATATTTTTTTAAAATTTTATTTGTGTGTGTGTGTGTGTGTGTGTGTGTGTGGCCAGCTCAGCCCACCAGGGGGCGGGCTGGCTGGCATGTGGGGCTGGGGGATTGAACCGCGGTCCCTGTGCTTTGCTAAGCTTGTTCTAAGTAGGTGCTTTAGACCACTGAGCCATCTCACCAGCCCCTCACCACTATACTTTTTTTTTTCTTGGTGGAACCGGGGATTGAACTCAGGCCCTTGCACTTGCCAGACAAGCACTTATTCTACTGAGCCATCTCCCTGGCCCCTATACCTATCTTTTAAAATAATTAATTAATTTTAAAGGGCTAGGAGATGGTTTGGTAGTCTAAGTGCCTGCCTGGGTTCAATCTCCAGTACCACCCTCCATGCTGGCATGGAACCCTGGGTGTGCTCTGCAGGCCAATGAAACTGGGCATGGTGGTGCATGCCTGTAATCCCAGCACTGTGAAGGCTGAGACAGGAGGATCACTATGAGTCTGAGCTGTGTACCAAATAAATAAATAAATAAATAATGTTTAAAACAATTTTTAAATTATTTTTTAAGAATAGGCTCTTGGGCCAGCCAAATAGCTCAGTGGATTAAAACACCTGCAAGCAGGCGCAGGGGCCAGGGGTTCAATCCCCAGGCCTGCCATGCTTGCCCTACCACAGGCAGTGTGCTGAGACTGCAATTGACACTGGGCGTGGTAGTGCTTGCCTGTAATCCCAGCTCTTGGGAGGCAGTAAACAGGATCAATATGAGTCTGAACTAGTAGTGAGACCCTGAACACCCTGTAGGCCCTTCCTTTAAATACAAAAAAAAAAAAAAAACAAACAAAAAACCACCCCCAAAAACAGGCCCTTACTGACCTTGCCCTAGAGCACACTAAGCCATAACCAGTGCTGGGGAAGCTGAAAACAGGAGGATCACTATGAGTCTGAGCTGTGTAGTGAGACCCTGTACCAAATATATGCATGAAAAAAAAAAAAAAAAAGAATAGGCCTAGATCAAAAGATTTAAAGATTTTGCGGGGAGGAGCACTTACTGTCATCACCCAAGAGTTCACCAAGAACGTCATCAATCGAGCCTGGAACAGAAAGGGCCGTCACAACTTGAGGAGGAAAGCAGCACTTCTATAGCTCAAGTCTGAGACATTCTGAGAGCTGCAGAACTCAAAGATGTTAAGCCTTAGACTGAGCTCTACCTTCATTGCCCAGGAGATGTTTTCGAACTCTCTGGCAATAAGTCACAAAGCCCTGTTGAAACACTTAAGGGAGAAATGCAAAGCATATGCCTAAAATGTATGATATTCAGACAGATAATGAGGTTAAGCTCAACAGCCTAGGTTGTATGGTAATAACAATAAGCTTCTCTTTTGGAGGGTTAACAACCTAAGTT